GAACCCCACAAAGGGTCCCACTGATGGTCATTGTTATACTAAAAACCACAAGGATTGGGATACCTCTCTCTGTCAGACTGATTATAACCATTGGAAAAGAGAAGGGGTCATACAGGTAGCAGAAATGAAGGGTGTCTTGCTTTTTTCAAAGATTTAAGCCATAAAACATACATGCTTATCTGGAATATTAAACTGAGTAAATAAGCTACAGGATTTAGCCTACTGTACCCAGAAAGGTACCTTTTTAAAAGGTTTATTCAGAGCTTTTAGTTTGTTGCAAATATTTATACCATGATGAACCAGCAGATGGCAGCACATTTTAATTTTTAGTAGTGATCTTTTCAAGCTAGATTCGCCAGCCTTCAGTTATTAATCCTCTGTACTGCACTGCACACTGTTTGTAGCTAATATAGCTCTTTGGAAATCCCCTTGTTGATCCTAAAAAAAAAAATGCTCTGTCATCAAACTATGATATTTTTCACAGAATCAATTAAAGAATTGGGAACAAACTCCGTTTTTGCAGTTAGAACCCCCAAGTTCATCACAGACTGGGCCATGGACCTAAATACACATGAGATAGCCCAGTAGTGCCTCCAAAAAACATAGCTTCAGTCTTGTTTTCATTAAAATTCAAAAAGTTAAGTGCAATCCAGTCCATTATGTTCTCAAGACATCTAAAAAGTGTATTGATAGAGAAAGCATTTGACTTTTTAAGAGAGACATAAATCTGACCGTCATCTACGTAGCAATGGTATAAAAGTTCATGTTATTTAGTATGAAACCATATGGGTGCAGATTGAGGGAGAGGTCCTAAAACCGAGCCTTGTGGGACACCACAACAAAGAGGAGCAGAGGAGAATACTATACCACCAAGGCTGACAGAATTTTCGGTTTGTTGAATAGGACTTGAACTACTCCTGACCGATGCCCCTGATTCCCACCAACTGCTCTAAACAAGATAGCAGTGTATTATGATCCACTGTGTCAAATGCGGCCATTACATCTAAAAGCACAAGGATGACAAAGTCACTAGAGACAACAGCTCAGAAGATATCATTAAAAACTTTTAAAAGAGCCGATTCAGAGCTGTGGAGAGTTTTAAAAATGGATTGAAAAAACCCAAGAATGCTATGCTCCTCAAGAAAGAAGATTAACTGTCTGTGATCTATCTTCTCAAGGCCTTTGGAGATAAAAAAAAAATGTTTATAATACATATAAGTAGAGGTTGTACCACTCACTGCATGCTTTTAATGATCAGGGACTACACCAGAGGACAGAAAACTGTTAAAATGTTCAAAATGCAACTGCTTCCAGAATAGAGAAAAGCTTTTTAAAAAGTCGAGGAACAACAGGAACTTTAGGAGAACCTGATGGCTTCAGATGACTAATGTTTACAAGAAGAAAAGACAGAGTCACAGGTTCAAACGTGTCAAAGACCGCACAAGCAGTAACAAAAATTGAGGGATCACAGGCAGGAGGTGAAATTAAGGCCCTTATGGCACTGACCTTTTCAATGAAAGGGTGAAGGAAATATTCACAGAGATAAAAGGAGGCCTCTATAAAAAATATTGGTAAAGGTTAAGGACAGAGTCAATGGTTTTTAAATAAAATATGTCATTTATAGATCGTGGTTTATAGACAGAATATCTGAGAGAGATTTTTGGCATCCTTTACAGTTTTATGGTAATGCCGCCAGGAGTCCTTTCACATTTGAACTGAAATAATGTCCTTCAACAAGGGCTCAGATATAGGTTTAGGCTGTCTGGTCTTAAAAGGAGCAATGGTGTCCATAACAGGCTGGAAGGTAGAGTGAAACCATTAGCCAAGTTTCTGCATTTTCTTGCATGAAAACTGTGAAGTGTCACATCCCTGATTAAAAACAGCCAAGATCTGAGTAGCGGTGGACAGGTCAAAGAGGCGGCAAAACTGAGGAGCCCGGGAGGTTTGACTGCACTTATAGCAAGGGGAACTTCAAATAGTACAGGCATCACAGATCTCCAGGTTAAAAATAAGCAAACCAGATCAATTGTGTATCTGCATTCATGTGTGGGACCAGACACAAACTGCACAAGATTAAAAAGTCTAAGACATTTAACAAGTCTTTAGTCGTTGGCTAATCAGGACAACACACATAAATATTGAAATCATGACAATTAGGAAGAAAGTCCGAGAAGTCATTAAGAAAGTCATTGTTGTACTTGGGAGGCTGATAGACCAAAGCACCATTTGAGAATGACCCAGTTCAAAGAAACTCAGTTGAAAGTTGCTGAACAGACATGATGGGGATAGCTCCTCTTTGTCCCGATGTCCACAGGCAGGTAAAATAGCACCAATCATCCTGTAAAAGTTCTGTGAAAAAGCTGGACTCACCAACACTCAGCCAGGTCTCGGTCACGCAAAGAAAGTCCAATCCCTAGGATGAGAAATAATCTCTCAGAATAAAAGTTTTATTTGCTAGTGATGCTTTTTTTCTGACTGGAGTTGGCAGGTCCACAGTGATCCGGGGAGCACGACGCAAGGGCCACAGGTTCACCTCATGCAAGCGGAGAAAAAGAGAGAAAGAGCTACGGCGCTAAAGCACCTCATCTGGGCCATCGACAGGTACCTACCAGGTGTTGAAAAGGTTCAGGAAACGCTGCAAAAAATAGGTGAAGCACCCCTTTAAGCTCTATCTGAGAAGCCTCAGTAAAGCGTACCAAAAAAGTACTGATGTGTCCTGTGTTGAGGCTTCGAAGTGTGTGTCGAGTAATCCAGGAAGATTTTTGTGGAGCGCGTATCGAGGCTTGTGTTGATGACGCATGTGGTGAAATTCAAGGCTTTGCAAGCCAGCCATAAAAGGTGTCTAATTCAGGGACTGGGTCTTCTCAAATAAGTGTTTCCTGGTGGTCTAGTAGTTAGGATTTGGTGCTCTCATCACCGTGGCTTGGGTTCCATTCCTGGTTAGGGAACACAGCTTTCCAGGTTCATCTTGGAGATGCCAGTTGCCTCCTCATGGAGCCTATATCTGGTTAAATAAAGGTTAATATTATAAGCACGGTAACAAAGTAAAACATTCAGGTTCACATCAAGTGATGTCCTTATATTCACTCTGCCTGTTTTACATTTATTGTCCACTTGATGGCACAGTAGAGCAAATAAAGCGTCATAATGCTTTGGCTCATGAGTTGAGCAACTGGAAGAAAAGCTTCATGGCTTCATGAGGCTTCATCTCACCGTCACTACAAACAAGCCTTCTCACCAGCTAACTGCTACGTTACCCTGGCAACGGCAGCACTAGGACTGCAGAGGTGGGGCCGGAGCACACAGCCGGTAGGCTGGGATCCCAGATAAAAACGGGTGCAAAGCTTTTTGTCCGCTGCGATTAAACACTATATTATTAGCACAAAGCTGCAACACCAGGAGTATTAACGATTGTACACCAATAAAGAATTGACATGCTGATTTATAAATGACACAAACACTACAAAAACAAACAGTGGCATCACACACACACGCCATTTGACTGTTGATTTTTACCCAAATAATTGGGGGCTAAAATAAATATTCTATAGTATTTCATTCATATGTTTGTTATCCTAATAAGAGAGAAAAGGTGTTAAATAATAATTTTGAGGTGGAGAGCTAGAGAGGTCTATTTTTATGTGTTTGATTGACAGCAGAGTGAGATTAAAGCTAGCCAGGTTCAGAGATGGTACTGTCTACTTAAAATATAAATACAGTTAATAATTTTAATACGTTTAAATTTATGAATACAACTAATATATCCCACAACCTGTTATTGTCACCTCTGGGGGTAAAAGTCTTAAGTAACCCCCTCAAATTTGCTGCAGATGGGACAGTGTTCTATCAGACTACAAAATATACAGATCATGACAAAAATGTGTCTGAACTATTGGAGGAAATTGTTCTTGGAGGATATTTTGACCCCGCTCTTTATTCATGTGAGTTTTCTTGGATAGAATTGGTTGAAACTCCACTTCCTTGGATGAGGACCCCTTGCTTGAATTGTATTAGGGTTCTTTCGCTGTTGGCACCACACAGGACTCACAGGACACAGGACTACTTTCTTCTCTAAACAAATGTTTTTTCAGATGTCCCAGACAATCATAAGGAAGTTTTAATAATTGTATCTCAGTCCCGTTGTCCATGTTGTGTAATCTGCAAAGATTCTGCATCCTTGATGTTATTCTTGAGCGCAAGTGTCATCTTTGCGTCATCTCTAAGACTATGACACACTCTGACGGCTTGGAGGAAGTTGTTGAGCAAGGTCGGCACTGGTGGCAACACCGTTCTGTAGTGCACTCTCCAGGCAACATATGGTCCTGACATTATTGGACACTCTTTCATTTATTTAAGATCTTGCTGTACTGAACCTTTAACCTTAAATTTCTTGATTATACAGAAAACCGCTCTTATAGGTGCAATATTCTTGGCTGCAATTATATATATAATTTTGAGCTATTAATCAAGAACACTTAAAAAAAATTACAAAAAAATATGTGTACTTAGAAGCAAATTATGAAGAAATATGAGACGTCACAAATGTTGCGTCAGTTATTTTGACTTCGGTGTGTTTTATTGCAGCCATTGGGTGTAGTTTTATTTAATATAGTTTATTGATCATTGCATCAGAGGCTTGCAGATGCAGAGGAATGAAAGTTTGCTGTAAGTTTATTTTTCTCTAAAAGCAAAACTAAAGATGAGCTGTAGTTGAATAAGCAAGAAGTAACATGAAGAAAGTGTGCATTGGCATGCATGGATTCATTCATGCATGCCTTCCCCTTCTGTCCATCCATCTGTGTTGTGGCTGAGGATTGATGGCAGAGGATTACAGGCTCAGAGCATCAATCAGCTGGTACACATGCTGAAATTAACAGCACATATTAAGACGCAACAGCTTAGATCCGTAAAGAAAATTCAAAGTATTTAGAGTAAGATGCAGGTTAAATAGAGAATACATTGTAAAGTAGTTGTGTTTTTGAGCTGATAAGTAATCTGTTGCTTTATTTATATACAGATATCCATATTCTCTGGTCCTTTACAGTGACTTGTTGAAATGCAGATAGACGTGTTTTGTCAGCTCCACGCTGTGCCATATGGTCATGCAGAATGGCTGCAAACTTCTTTCCTAATTAGTATTCTGAATTAAAATTAAAAAATATGAAGCATGCTTTTAAATCCCCAATTTATGGAGTATAAATTACATTGTCAATGTTTTCATATAGGTTGAAGCTCTTTGCAGTGAAGCTCTTTGCTGTGGCTGCATTCCTGCACCGTGTTCATGTGTCTAAGCTTAAGCACAAATGATCATTGGCAGAGGCAACTCCCCATTGTTTTAAACAATAAAAATCCTCTTTGGTCTGCAGTGGCAATTATATCTGATCATAAATGAAGCAGAAAAGCAGAGATATTCCACATTATCTTCCACTCAATGAGTGCTGCGTTTGGGTCCTTTTTGCCTGTGATGCAGACCCTGCAGCAGTTTACAAACCCATGGCTAAATTTGGAGGACATCCAATACCTGCAAAGTAGAAAGTGAGGAGAAAGCTGGATCATACTGCAATGTAGTTGGCCAGATATACCCTGTGGTTGCCAAGGTTCCATTTCCTTCCAGTTCTAAGCACTTTCCACTGATTAGCTAGACAAACTAGGGTGTCTGAAGATGTGTTCAGGTTGGTAAAATTTCTGGCAAAACATTGGAACGTTTTCTGCAATGTAACATTGTTGTGTATCTGTCCTGCGATTTAATGCTGTAGAAAGATATGCAACTTTAATTAAAAATACTTAGCACAAAAAGTAAGGAAATTTATGTTTAGGTCAGTTTATTTTTTTCACAATGCATCTTGGCAATGAACATTATAGCATTGGAAAGTCTGTTTAAAACTCTGTTTAAGTCTTAAATTTGAATGGAAAATGCATTTGTAGTGTTGAACAGAGATGAGCATGTGGGTTGTGTCTAAGAAAAACTTCCCAAACCCTGCAGCCAATGCTAAACAGTTTTGATGGATGCAGTGCGATTGGTGGAAAAACAAGTCTTGACATTATTGGAGACAATCTTAATGCAGAGAGATGTTTAGGTTTTTTTATAACTGAATTATTATTCAGCTGCTGTGCTGACGTCTGCTAGCTCTGTCAGTTTTTTCACCGTTCAAACATAAGTGCTTTTCTTTTTTATAGGAAAGCTGTAGTTCTTTAACATCTAGCAATACCTCACAGAAGCAGAGTATGTATCAGGGGAAAAGAACACTTCTTTATTAACTTCACCTCCTTCAAATTTTTTTGAGTATGATAGTCATGTACAATATTCAAAGGGAAACTTTAGGAGAAACATTGCAAGGTTTAGTTCATCCCTCACAACTTGGACATGACTGTAATGCTGGCCCTCTGCATTAGTTATGAGTCATCCTGGCAGATGGAAGCATTGCACCCTTCTTCACCCTGTCTAACACATTTTGCTCTCACTCTGACATGCGACTCTTCACATAGTGACACCAGGGGCCAGACGCAATCGCTCGCTTTACAAATCACGCCATCTGAAGAGTTTTTCTAAATCCTTCCAGGCTAGAGTTGGTAAATGAACTGTCCATGGGTGGGAAAGTGACATTTCTCTTGTCCTGGCCTTGTTTGCTCTCAACATGCCTCACTTCTCCTAAATAAGAGGTACGAGATAAAATGCCAGTGGGTCATCAGAAAATAGCCTGATAATTGACCCTGTCATTTAGTGAATGCTGAAGCCACGCAAAGTCCTAGAGCCACGCTAAGCCCTCTCATCTGAGCTAGGTCAACACCTATAGCAACGGCAAACACAAAGACAGACAACAATTGGAGGGTATCGCTTAAAGCAGATTGTTTTATTTATTCCTCTTGTGCATATTTAGCATCCTGCCACCACCTGTGTCACTTTATACATTCATGCTAAGAATTTCACAACCAGATCCTAACCCCTGTTGGGAATACATCCCAGAAATAGCAACAATGGGACTGGCACAACGGAGAGCTCTTTAAAGGCTTTGTTTATTTAATGCATTTTGTAAAATAAGCTAGGCCCCCTAGCTATGCTTTCCTGCAACTTAGCTAGCTAATCAGTGATTACATAATGTTGTGAACCAAAAATGTGACAGTAATGCACAGTCTGTTTATTTATGTTGAAAGGAACTGGTGACCAGGTTAGTATATTTGCATTTGTTAACAAATGGACAATACAACAGTGGTAAAGCTATGTAGCCTTAAGCTAGCATGAAAATGTAAAGTAACGAGGAACATTTTTTTGTAAAATGTTAGCAGATGATGAGTTTATCATAATCAGAAATAGGACCTGAAATGAAAACAAATGTGCAAACATCTTTAATAGACCCACATATACGGTGGGTTTTTGCTCCCTTACAGATTTCTTCAGGTTTTTTGTGTGTTTTTGTCACATTTCTTCTTTCTGTTTAGTGCCAGACCTGTAGAATCAAGAAATTACTTAAATAGAACCTGTCTGATAACATGACGTAGGCTAAAACATCTTAAAAAGCAACAATTCATGTCCCTGTCTAAAGAAATTCAAGAAGAGATTAGTGATCCACAAAAGCCATTTCACATAAGGCCAAGTTAGTTTGGACAACTTAACTCTCTTAAAAAACAAAATCATAATTTGAAAACTGCATTTTGTATTTGGTTATCTTTAATGTCAAAATTTATGAAAGATGATATAAAACATGTATGACAGTTAGATAGTTTTGGATAAATCTTCAGAAAAAAAGAGCAATTTAGCAAGTTAGTAAATGTGTGCTACACACAGGCATAAGTTACAAGCTGTCCATTAAAGTAAGAAACCGATTCACTGTGGAAACTAAAAAAGTGTTGTTTATTTTATAAGTAACGTTCATTTGAGAAAATTGTTACATGTGATTCCTAGAATTGATCGTGTGTTTGCTGTGATTTTACTTTGCACCAGATAAGCAAG